ACACTAATGCAATCTTGGTGGAGTTGTGAACTGATCCAATCATTCTGGAGAGCAATTTGGAACTATGCCCAAAAGATTATAAAACTGGGCATACCCTTTGATCCAGCAAAACCACTGCTAGGTCTATATCCCAAAGACATCCAAAAAAAAGGGGAAAAGGATCTATTTGTACAAAAATATTTATAGTAACTCTCTTTGTGGTGGCTAAGTACTAGAAATCAAAGGGATGCACATCAATTGGGGAATGGCTAAACAAGCTGTGGTATATGATTATAGTGGAATATTATTGTGCTATAAGAAATGACAAGCAGGATGATTTCAGGAAAATCTGGAAAGGCTTACATGAACTGGTGCATAGTGAAGTGAACAGAACCAAAAGAACGTCATACACAGAAACAGCAATATTGTTCAGTGTGAATTGTGAATGGATTAAACAGTCCAGTAAAATGAAAGTGAAAGATTGGACAAGAAAACAATCATATATATAAAACAAAGATATACGCAGATCAAAAAAGAGAGACTAGAACAAGATTTACTATGTATCAGGTTAATAAAAAAAAACAGAAGCTGTAATCATGCCATCAGACAAAGCACAAACAAAAATTCATGATACGGATAAATAAGGAAATTGCATTATGCTAAAAATAACTATGTACAACAAACCAATATCATTCTGTATCTGTTCACATACATCTTCCCAGGTTTCTCTTAATTCCCATGATCCATCTTTTTATTACTGCATGATAATTTACTTTAATAATAAATAATAAAATAAACGGAGCTTTACCTAACATTCTAAGTAGGATCTATCTAAAACCAATAGCCAGTGTTATCTGTAAGGAGGCTAAGCTTGAGGCCTTCCCAATAATATCAGAGGTAAAGCAAGGATGTACATTATCACCATTATCATTCAACATAATTCTAGAAATGCTAGGTATAGCAGTATAATAAAAATAATAATTTAAGGAAATAAATATAGACAAAGTAGAAAAAATTATTACATTTTGTTAGGTGATGTGATAGCTGACTTGAAAAACTATAGCAGACCAACTAAAAAGCAAATTGAAACCATTGATAACTTCAACAAAATTTCAGTATATAAAATAAACCCATGTAAATGATCAACATTTTTATGACACCAATAAAATCTAATAGGAAAAGAAAAATATTCTATATTCTAATTATTCAATACATCTATTTATCTGTTCTTTCCCTAGATGCAGATAGCATCTTTCTTCATATGTACGTTATAGTTAATTTGGATGTTTATAATAGTCAAAATGCCGTATTCATTCAAAATCTTTCTAAAACAATATTGCTATTATTGTATGCAATTTTCTCTTGATTCTTCTCATTTCACTCTTCATTATTTTGTGCAAGTGTTTCCATGTTTTTCTATCATTGAACTCATCATTTCTTATAGAACGGTAGTATTCCATAACATATACAACTTGTTCAGCCATTTCCCAATTGATGGCCATCCCTGCATTTTCCAGTTCTTTGCCACTACACAGAGAGCTGCTGTAAACATTTTAGAACATATAGGTTCTTTTCCTTTTCCCTTAATCATCTTTGGAAATAGAGCTAGTAGTCAAAGGGAGATTTAATTACTCCATGGGCATAATTCTAGGTTGCTTTCCAATGTAGTTGGATCAGTTCACAATTCCACCAATAATGAATTAGTGTCCTAATTTTTCAACATCCCTTCCAACATTTGTTGCTTTCCCCTTCAATCTTTTTAGCCAATATGGTAGGTATAAAATTATATCTCAAGTTGTTTTAATTTACATTTTTCTAATCAGTAATGATTTAGAGCATTTTTTCATGTGACTATAAATTGTTTTGATTTCTTCATTGAAAAACTGCCTGTTCATGTCCTGTGACCATTTATCAATTAGGGAATGACTCATATTCTTATAGATTTGACAAAGTTCTTTATGTACTTGAGATATGAGATCTTTATCTGAGAAACTGTCAATAAAATTTTCACCCAATTTTCTGATTTCCTTCTGATCTTGTCTACATTTGTTTTTATTTGTATAAAAACTTTTTAATTTAATGTACTTGAAATTATCCATTTTACGCCTAACTTTGCTCTCTATCTCTTGTTTATTTATAATTTTTTTACCTATCCATAAATCTGATGAGTAATATGTTCCATGTTCTTCTCGTTTTCTTGTAATATCTCTCTTTATATCTAGGTCATGTATTCATTTTGACCTTACCTTTGTAAATGGTGTAAAATATTGGTCTATGCCCAATTTCTGCCCAACTGCTTTCCAGTCTTCCCAACAATTTTTTTTTACCAAATAATTAAATCTTCTTCCAAAATCTTAAGTCTTTTTCTACTCTGTTCCATTGATCTACCTTTCTATTTCTTAGCCAGTACCACATAGTTTTGATAATTACTGCCTTATAATTTGAGATCTGGTACTGCTAAACCTCCTTCCTTTACATTTTTTTCCATTAGCTCATTTGATATTCTTGAGTTTTTGTTTTTCCAAGTGAATTTTGTTATTTTTTTCTAATTCGCCAAAATAATTTTTATTTACTTGGGATGGTGTTGAATATATAAATTACTTTAGGTAAAATTGGCATTTTTATCATATTGGCCCTGCATACCCATGAACATCAGTATTTCTCCAATTATTTAAATCTAATTGTATTTGTATAAAAAATTTTTTAAATTTTGTTTATATAGTTCCTGTGTTTCTTTTGGCAGGTGTACTCCCAGATATTTTATAATGTCTAGAATTATTTTAGAGTTATTATCACTTATTGAAGGGTTTGTGGGTGATATATAGGAATACTGATGATTAATGTGGATTTACTTTATATCCTGCTACTTTACTAAAATTATTGATTATTTCAACTAAGTCTTTAGTTGAGTGTTTGGAATTTTCCAAGTATTACATCATATTGTCTGCAAAAGACATCGTTTTCTTACCTCATTTCCTATTCTGATTCCTTCTAATTATTTTTCTTCTCTTATTGCTATTGCTGGAATTTCCAATGCAATATTGAATGATATGCAACCATACCATTAAAAACTTAGAAGAGAAGCAAATTGCATGCTTTTCATTACTATGGGCAGAAGATGGATTCTTACCAAACCAATGATAAAAGGTTAAATAGATTATGTTGGTTACATGCAGTTAAAGAGTTTCAGCACAAATTTTATGCATCTAAGATAAGAACAGAAAGAATCAAATGGGGGAAAAACTTTGCATAATATTTTTCAGATAAGGGTTTGGAATCCAAGATTTATAGAACACAAACAGAAATATGTAAGACCAAAAGCCATTTCCCATTAGATAATTAATTAGGCAAAGAATATGAACAAATGACTTTCAAAAATAATTATAAATATTTTACTACTATACGAAAAATTCTCCAAATCACTAATAATTAGAGACAACCAAATCAAAATATCCTTGAAGTTTCACCCCAAATTTCAAAGTTGACAAAAGAAGGGAATAATCAATGTTGCAGGGGTTGTGGAAAGAAAGGCCCACTAATGCATTGTTGGTAAACCTGTGAATTAATACAACTATTTTGGAATTATGCTAATAAATTGACTAAAATATCCTACCACCTGACCCAGAGATTCCACTACTATTCATATATTACAAGAAGGTCATTGATTTAAAAAAAAAAGAAACAAAGTCCTTATATACAACAAAATATTTATACCAGTGTTTTTTGTGGTAGTCGAGAAGAAGTAGAAACAAAGTTCTTATCTATTGATTATAGAATGGCTAGATAAATTGTGATATATGAATATAATGGAATATTTTTATATTGCAAAAAATGGTGAACATGATGAGTGGAGATGTATAACAAGACTTAACAAGAGCCGATACAAAGTGAAAGAGCCAAGAAAATAATATATACAATAGTGTGTAATGGAAAGAAGAACTACCACAAAACAGCTGAAAAGGAATGTTGCAAAATTACAAAGAATAAGCTTGTCCCAACTAAGAGATGTGAGAAAATAGTTCCACCCACTGCTTTGCTGAAGTAGGAGTGAAGAAAATTGTACATATTATCAGAGTTTTTTTCAGTGTATTAGCTGCTGTTTTTTTTTCTCTTCTTCCTCTTTTTTATTTTAAAGAATATTATATGGTTTAACTTTCTGGGAGGGTGCAGGGGCTGGATACAGGCTATTGTAATAGATAATAATTAAATATATTTAACTTTAAGTAACAAAAAGCTCATTATATTTGTATGTTTTATAGCTTGCATTCTTAATTCAAAATACTGCTTTAAAGAATATCGAACATAAATAAGAAGGCTAGTGGCTGAAACTTTAGATGAATGACTACAAGTCAGGCTGACTTGGAGATTGTCCCAATATCCACTATAACATTCTGCCTCTTTATTAATGAGAAAGAATATTAGATTGTTTAATGCCAGTTATGAAGATGAACATTTACTTATTCTGGAGCAAAGTGAAACTTGCTGTTAATCTTTTTGCATTAATTGGCCTACATCATATTGCCATTCAGTTGATTTCATCAAGTATGTTTAATTATCCTACAGTGGTTTCTATTTTTGTCTGCATTTTCTCATTTAGAATCAGAATATTGTGGTTATTCCTTCTCCAAGAAATTAAAAATTTTACTTTGTGTGAGTGCTTAACATTTTATTGTAAACTTTAAATGAAAAAGAGATTCTATAATACCTCACTTCAGATATACAATTTCTTCTATATGTGAATTACCTCTTGGTGGAAAAACAATTTTTTTAGAAGTTGTTTCCTAATATTTAAGTAAACATCAAATAAAATTAGCATCAGAGTTCTATCCTTTTTATTAGTTTGATTTAAGGCTTCTAGGGAAAGTCAAAAGAAGAAAAAGTTTAGAATTTAGCATATTTGAATAAAATTGAAATAGAAGAAAATTAATCCTTATTTAAGAGACAGGTATTTTTCGTTATTCATACAATATGTTATAATTGACATTGTGTTTTCCTTTTTTCAAAGATTTGTTTGTGGAGGAGTTGTATCTCATTGCGTTGACTGTGAAGATCAACTATCACTCAGCAGGGATACTGTCAGAGAAAGTTCCCAGAGATTGTCCTAAAGAGATCTTCCATGGGGACTGTGCCTGACCCCCTGAGGTTGACTAAAACTTCCCTGACTGTAGCTTCAGAAGACAAGGAAGAGCTTCAAGGCCAACACCCTTCTATTCCACAGCCGCCATCAATCATTGCCTATACCAACGCTAATAGTCTTCCATGCTTTCCTTCAGAATCCGTTAGAGTTGGCTTGTTGGACCTCAGTGGCCCTGGACCAGTAGAGACTATAATGAAGGACTCTGAGAATGATCTCACTCAGACAGTCATGTCTTCTGAGATCTCCAGTGAGGATGAAAAATTACCTCCTACATACAACAGCCCTCCTGAAAGCTCCAGTGAACATGTAGCACAAATCCGAGGTCCAGTAGTAGACTTGACCATTACACACTCAGTCAACCAGGATGCTAGCCATCCCACACCTTGTGATGAGCCAAAGACCTTGACAGATGCTGTTTCTTTGACTACAGCAGACCAATCCTCCAGGACATCTCCACAGTCTAGCCTCACTAGTAAACATTCAGTATGCCCTACAGAGCAAGAAAAGACTCTAAAAACAGGGCATCTGTTCTCCAGATTCAAAGAAACAGGTACAATGACAAGCCTAGATGAGAGTGGATTTTTGGCAGAGGAGAGGGCAAACAGAACTTGGCAAGATGCTGAGGTTCAGGCAGTAACCAGTATGGAGAGCAGATCTGTCTCTACCAGCCCAAGCATCTTTGCTACATTCTTAAGGAAAATTCCTCCTTTTGAGAGTTTAGAACAACAAGAACAGTTATGCGTTATTTACCAGAGCAACAGTGACATGAACAATCCATCAGAGCTCTCTGATAAGTTGGTAGGTCCAAGAAAAGCGCCTTGTCATTTTGATAACAAGACAGAAGTGCTCATCCAGGCAGCTACTGGTGATTCTTCAAACATACCAACTTTCCAAGTGGAAAATAAGTCAACAGATTCAGCAGCCACAGTCTATCAAATGGCATCAGACAACAGAATATCTGGCCTACGGGCATCAAGTGATACCAAAACTACATGCAAGGAGAAACAGCAGGCAGTAGAAATGGTCACTAAAGGAGAAAGTCAGATCATTACACAGCCAGCCCCTACTACTTTCATCCCACCGAATGCAAAACCAGTTGATCAAATTTCTACGCATGCGTGCAATCAAACTGATGTAAGTCATGACTTGGGAAAAGCTGAAACCAAATCATCTGACTTGTCAATGAAAACCATTAAAAGCATTCCCAGCAATAAACCACTCAGCCCTGACAATGAACTGAACAAAGCCGATAACTTGAATGTCACTGACAAAGATAACACAACTGAGAAGCCTTTGCCTACTCAAGTAGTAAAAGAATTGGGAACTGATGATCCCAAGGCAGACATAAAACCAAAAGCTGAGACAAAATCAGAATTGCTTTGTCCTAATGCGGAAGGACTAACTGTGGTTACTCCTACCACAGGCAGAAAGAACCAGGACAAAGCCTCTGAAGAAAGTAAGCAGGCAAAGACGGTTACAAGCCTGGGACTCCCAGGAGAGTCGATGGGGGAATCCAGTCCAAATTCTGGTAAACGTACACCCTCTCGGTCAGTCAAAGCAAGTCCGCGTCGTCCCAGCCGTGTCAGTGAGTTCTTAAAGGAACAAAAACTGAATGTGACAGCAGCTGCTGCTCAGGTTGGATTTACCCCTGGAGAAAAGAAAAAGCAGCTTGGATCTGATGGCAAGCTCCAATTCAAACAGTCCAAGCAAGTCAGGGATGTCATATGGGATGAACAAGGCATGACATGGGAAGTGTATGGTGCTTCCCTAGACCCTGAGTCGCTTGGTATCGCTATTCAGAACCACTTGCAGAGACAAATCAGGGAACACGAGAAACTGATTAAGGTTCAAAGCAATCAGAATCGGAAATCCATTTCTTCCGATACATCTTCAAATAAAAAGCTTAAGGGGAGGCAACACAATGTGTTCCAGGCCGTGATGCAGAACTTTAGACGTCCCAACTGTTGTGTCCACCCTGCTCCCTCGTCTGTGTTAGATTAAAAGAGAAAATGTATAGAATAGTGTGTGGACACTTAGTACCAACATGAATCTTGGTCTATGATGAAGGTTACCTATATCTGATGACGGAATCTGCTAATCACAAGAAAGTGTTAATTTCAGGAAATTGCTTCAATACATTACGAGAACTTTGTCAATTTGAATGTTATATCTAAAGAAAAAAATATAGGTAATAGGAACACATTTCAATGTAGGTTTATGTACCAAAGTGGAAATAATAGGCAAAACAAAAATGTTTATGGAAAAAACATTGTAGCTGTTCATTTTTATATTGTTTCCTCACTTTAGCAAACTGGAGTTATTTGTATTCAAATCCTTATTCTGGATTCAAAAGTAGAGATTTAGCACAAACACTTATAAATTTCCTGTCCAAAACCCTAATCCAGAAAATGAGGAGGTTGTATAAGACCATCTTCAAGGTCCCTAGTAACTCTTAAATTCTATGATCTTAATTCAATAAGGATGGTATCAACACACAAAAGCTTTAAGTAGAAGATAACTAATACATAAAACATGGAATTGAATTTTCATTTATTGATAAGACAGATTCTATAAATTAAAGAATCCTTAAAATGCATAGAAGCATCCAACATTAATGAATGTTTATACATACAGGCAGACATTCAAGCACATCGGTCTTGCTATAATAGTTGGCAAACACAAGCAAGTTTTATTAGAGATCTTCAGGCCTTTCCTTGTATGTAGGAAAGATAATACAGAAATACTAAAGTCAGATTTCACTGATCTTCTCTGGTACAATTTCATATTTTTAGTCTATAGGAAGTCTATTGGTCTGAATTCATGGAAGGAGTTTTCTGTGACATTCTACTAAGAAATGAAAAAAAAAATTCTAAGAAACTTCTCAGTAAATGTAAACGCCCAAATATCACATAGTTTTCTATTGGAAAATAATAAGAATACTACATTCAGTTGTTGATTCCAGTTCTAATAATTATGTAAATAAAAATACATTATGTTATTTTTCCATTCAGTATGTCTCAGCCCTAATTCAAGAAAATGTGGCGAATATTTGTGGAATATGAGCTTCCTTGAGACAGTATTTTCAGAGGCAGCTAGTGGCACAGTGGATAGAGTGCTGGGGACTGGCGTCAGGAAGACCTGAGTGCAAACTGGCCTCACACACTTCCTAGCTGTGTGACCCTGAGCAAAACAAAATAGAACAAAAACCTCAGTTTGCCTCTGTTTCCTCAACTGTAAAACGGGGATAGTAATAGCACCTTCATTGCAAGGTTGTTGTGAGACTCATATGAGATCCTCACTGTTAGCACAGTACCTGGTATAGAATAGGTGCTATATAAGTGTCTTTCCCTTCCTGTATTTAATTTGGGTTTGTGGTTAAAGTTTGTTGCCTGGAAAAGAAATGGCCCCACTAAGTAATTTAGTTTGAGAAGCACTACCATACACTTTATCAGAAAAATATAAAAGAAAAGATTGTTTCTTTTCTGAGCAGTAGTTTCCTGTTTTTGGTACATTTATGTTTTGGTTTCTCTCTCACAAACCTTCATCTACCACATGCCTCAGTAAGATAAACTACATTTAGGACATGTAAGTTTTCAAATGGCCTAAGCAAGGATAACCCACCTCTGTTGTCATCTCACACAGTTGGGTTAAAAAAAAACACATATGAAGGGACTATGGAGGCATGTGTTGGCAATATTTCTTGTTGAGATGAGCATTGACCTATCCCTAGGTGTAGGGCACTGACTGGGTGCAGGCTGCTAAAAGGGCCATTGATTTTAGTTGTTATGAAATGTTAATTTCTCCTTAAAGAGCAGGTCTCTGAGCATAGATCATTTTTTTTTAGCACCTAATACAATACTCTGTGTCCAGCAAACCCTCCAGTTGATTGTTAATCATTTGTGTTTAAAAAAAAATTTTGGTTTGCAAGTTCTGAACTTGTAAAGAACAATACCGAAGTTTAATGCTATAAATTACACAAGGCGTACATAATTAAAGGTTAGAACATGAAGTTTTTTTGTTTTTATTATTCATCTATGTGCAATGTGCTATGAGTAGATTGGAATCACAGCATAATTGATAGTGAGAAGAGTTATCTTCAAACAATCTACTATTCAGACAGATCTGTGATCTTACTGATACGGTTATTTCTTCTATTGATGCAGATTGTAGCTCATCCATGCCTGACCATTCTATGCAAATCATGGCCATGTCCTGCCACAGGTTTGAAATGGGATTGTCCATTCAAGAGACTTTCCTTCAAACACACATAGACTTATTATAGGCAACTATTTAATTGTTTTGGGAGAAGCTCTGAAAATATATCATAGTACCATTTAAAAAAAAGTTTTAGTTCTTGGCTATTTGAACTATGTTAAAATGATTTCTGAAATAGAAGTACCTCCCACACCCAAACAACTATAGTCAAAAACTCATTTGACCCTTTCTAGAAATTACTATGTGATAACATCCAGGTAGAACTCTCTGGTTCCATGGGCAGTTGCAATATTCTCTCTCCGTCTCTCTCTCACTCTGTCTCTCCTTTACACACACACACACACACACACACACACACACACACACACTCACACTATATATATATATATATATATACAGTAACATCCATAAATATTAACATTAGAAGGAAGCCACAGGTCAAATAATACTATTTATGAGTTTGGGATGAAAATATCATTCATATATATTTAAATGAAGCAGAGCCCCAACTGTTTTGGGGACATATGTCCCAAAGAAACTAAATTACATAATTTGGTCTATTGGGGCTGGAGTTGTGTTTTTGACTTCTAAAACTTTTGTTAAATTAAAAAATATTTTGTAGGTAGCAGTTCTGATTAGTGTCTGGTATGGACACCAAACTTTACTTTTATGGGATTTTTGTTTTCTTCTTTTCAAAATAAGTTTTCCCCTTCAGACAACAATTTATTTAGTAATTTGTGAGGTTGCAGAAGCAAATCAGATCCAAGGCTCTTGGTCTGTATGAGGACCCAGAACCTTGGTTTCTACACAGTTAATATCCAGTTAAAGGAGAAAAAAAACCAACAGTAACAGAATGTAGGGATTGAGACACCTTGTTCTTATACTTTTTATTTTCACATCACATATATTACTGGAAATACTTTCCTCCCCCACCTCTCATTTGAACCTTTCTTATTAACAAAGAAAAATAGCTAAGAAAAAAAGAAACTAGATTTAGCGACCATGTCTGACAGTTTATACAGTTTGTCTTAGTAAGCCCCCACTCTATTACAGGGAGGAGAGAAATATGTTTCATAATCTTCACTTGTTTATTTTTTTTTTGTTTGAAGAGTCTTTCATTTATGTTGTGGTAATTACTATATATCTTGTTCTCTTGGTTCTGCTTTTTCATTCTGTATCTGTTCACATGCATCTTCCCAGGTTTCTCTTAATTCCCATGATTTATCTTTTTATTACTACATGATAATTTTACTTTATATTCATGTGCTATAATCTTGCTGATTATTCTCCCATGAAATTTTATTTTTATAATTGCATGATATTTATAAAGTATTCAGAACACAGCAATAATTATTTATTTTTCAAATATTTGTTGAGTACCTACCATGTAAAAGTCACTGCTGGATACTAAATTATTGATCATTGAGTTCTAAAAAAGAAACAATTAAAAAAACTAACAGAATTATGATAGTATCTAATAATTATATATAATGTGAGATTATTTTGAGATAGTAATATTATTACCTCATGATATTCTTAAATTATTAACTTTTTCCATTAAACCAGTCTTTATTTAGAATTGTGTTAACTTTGATAAACAATATAAATATACGTATACAATGCAGAAATAGGTGAAGAAGAATAATGTAGTTTCAGTAATTGATTATGCAAAAACCAACAATTCAAACCACAAGAATATTTTCATTTTGACTGACATTTTTGATAGTTATTGTTTCAAAATTTATTTGGTAAAACTGAGGACTTTTTTCCTTTAAGCTAATTTTGCTAGAGATTTGAATTTATAAGGTTTTAGGACATTAATTTTATTTCTTATGAACTACTCTTCCTACAAAAAATTATTTTCATTAATACAGATGTTTGTGTTGGCTAAACTAGAAGGGAAAGAAGTGTGCTATAATTCAGTATGTAGAAGAAAATGGAAACAAAACAGAAAGTGTTGAGATGGTATTTTCCTTGGCAAGTGAATAGAGATTTTAAAAATCTAAATTCTTAGTCATGTTTTCATGATAATAGTAATATTTGGGTGCAGAAAAAAGAACAACTATCTTATAGATTTGTCTCTTCTGTCAAGATTTATTTCATTCATCTCTTGTTTTTTTCTCTTAAGAGTATTCTAATTATTTGTTCTTATATGTATCATTTTTGTTATCACAGGCTTAAATTATGTATATTAATACAGTTAATTTTTTTTAACTTGAGCAGTAAGGAAATGGGACATTTCCAGAAAACTTTTCAGTTTTAACCCCAATTGAGATATTTGTAAAAATATATTTAGTACATTTTGCTTAACTTCGTCATTTTAGTATACTGAACATAATTTAAATATAGGTATAGTACCTGACCGTTAAAACTTCTCCAAAAAGCTTAAAGTTGAAATAGGTTATCACTTTTAAACTTTTATTTTCTGTTTTTCATTTCCTTTTCCCTCATTATCATTTTAAAAGCTATTTCTCTTCTCTTTGAATAATCTATAATCATACCAAAAGTACATCACATTAAATTTCACTTTCTTTAAAGAAGATACTCAAGGATCCCGATGTGAACTTAGATTGTTTCAATATTGTTTTAGCTAAGCACCTCTTATTTAGATTCTATAATATGAGCTAAGTATCTGTTCACTTTAACAACACAATCCAGCAAAGATTTCACACATTCTTGATATTTTAAAGAAAATCTATCACACGTGCATTTTTATGTGTGTATTTGTGTATTTAGACAAATAGGGCAAACTTGGTTTTGTTTAGTAGGCTTATAACTACCAGATAGTAATTTTCTACAAATGTTGCCATATTGATGAGGCTATTTATTTTATATGATAGTTCTAATTTAAATGATGACATGAGAATTGCTATTTGTAACAGTTATAAAATTAAATAAGCAGTATCTTTGTTATGTGAGTTCAACAACTTAACCTTCCTTACTCTGTTCACCTCCACATATCTCCTTTCCTACCCATTAAGTTGGAGTCCCTGTCTGTTTTGGTGTTTGTGATTTTACATTAAAAGATTAGCTTCTTATTTAGGTATTGATACTAGTGTCCTCACTGGTTGGTTCTATACAAACATGTGTTACCACGACCTGAAAAAATGACATTTGATATATAGAATTTATTCTTGTCTTATTATTCCTTTGAATGAAATTATTAATCTAAATGACTGTTTTGGGGAGGGGAATTTGAAGCACCTCTTAGTTGTAAATGTCATTTTTGCATTGATATGGGGTCAAGAATATCTCCAAATTTCTCATGGAAGAGGAAATCAATAGCC